GTGGAGCTCCACCGAAGGTCCCAGTGGCTGCGTTCACATGCGCCCGCCGCTCCGCGCCCATGTCGGCACGCCCCTGACGCTTCGTGGCCCCACAGGGAGCTCCACCCAAGACCCCAGCGGCACCGTCCGCATGCGTCTTCGCCACCCATGTCGGCGCACCCCTTCACACGCTGCGTGGCCCCAGCGGCACCGTCCTCACCTGCCCGCGCAATTCATCCCGGCGAACCCTCACACGTTGCGTGGCCCCACGCCGCTCGCATGCGCCCGCGCCACCAATTTTGGCCCCCCCGCGCGCTGCGTGGCCCCAAAGGGAGCCCCACCCAAGGCCCGAATGGCACCGTTCCCCCCTCCCCTCAGCATGGCGCTCGGTTTTGGGATGATTCACCTGCAGTACTGCGGCTGAAGCCACCACCACGGGTGTCTCTTCGGCTGCGGCAGTGCCCTGGGCTCTTTCTCTCTTTCTCTCTCTCTTTGTTTTGTTTCTCTCTCTCTCTCTCTCTCTCCCTCTCCCACCACATAGTCTGCCCACGTTTCGATACTTTCCCGGTCCGGGTCTCGGGCCGTCCTGTTCCCTCCGACGTGCCAGCTCGGCTGGCCTTTGTCGGTCACTGCGCGGGCCCCGCTCGCTTCTTGGTGACGCGATCCCATTCGCAACGGTATGCGCATCAGGTCCGGAAGCGTGGGTCCGACGGGGCGATTTCTGACCGACGGAGTTTAGCGTGCGCCCGCGCCGCGCGGGCGGCCACGGACCTCCCGCGTTGCCGGCGCCCCGGCCCCAGCCCACGCCCGCGCCCCGCAACATGCGGCGGCGGCCAGCTCGCCCCAGGCTTTCAGGAATCATCGACCTCCTTCCGATGCTGGCCCTCCTCCCTCCTTCATCCTCCTTCCTCCTTGTCCTCTTCCCTCCGCTGCTGCTGCTCCTCTCCACCGAGGATTGCCCCCCCCGCGCGCGCCCGCCAACGTGCGTGCCCCATCGCGGGGACCCGTCCTCGGACCAGCCTCCCGTCAGCTCGTTGCGTTTGTTTGGGACGCTCGACCTGTCATGGATACTTCTGGATACTTTTGCTGCTGCTCCTCCTCCTTGTGGTCCCCTTCGCTGCAGGAAGTGGGGCGCGCTGCCCCGGGAGGTGCTGGAGCCGCGGCCCCCGGCTCGGCGGCGGCGGCGCGCCGCCGTCCGGCCACGGGCGGAGCCGGCGCCCGAGCAGGAGGCCGCTTCCGTCTCCGCCTCTTCCTTCTCCGCCTCTTCCTTCTCCGCCTCTTCCTCCTCCTCCTCCTCCTCCTCCTCCTCCTCCTCCTCCTCCTCTCCTCCTCTCTCCTCCTCCCTCCTCCTCCTCCTCCTCTTCCTCCTCCTCCTCGTGCGCCTCCTCCTCATTTTCCTCCTTCACCTCCCTCCTCCTCTTTTCACTTCTTCTTCCTCCTCCTCCTCCTCCTCCTCCTCCTCGTCCTCCGCCTCCGCTTCCGCCTCCGCTGCCGCATCCTCCTCCTTCCTTTCCTCCTCCTCCTCCTTCCTCCTCCGCTTCCTCCTCCTCCTCCCCCCTCCTCCTCCTCCTTCTCCTCCTCCTCCTCCTCCTCCTCCTCCGTCCTCCTTCCTCCTCCACCTTCCCCTCCTCCTCCCTACTCCCCCTCCTTCCTCCTCCTCCTCCTCCTCCTCCTCCTCCTCCTCCTCCTCCGCCTCCGTCTCCGCCTCCGCTTCCGCCTCCGCTGCCGCATCTTCCTCCTCGTCCACTTCCTCCTTCTCCTCCACCTCCTCCGCCTCCTCCGCCTCCGCTTTCTCCTCCTCCGCCTCCTCCTCCCCCTCCTCCCGCAGACCTCGAGGACCGAACAGTGTGATCGAAGTGGTCGGCGGCGCGCCGAAGGCGGTAGACGGCTAACGGCGTTCTTTGTCACAGTGTGGTCGGCTTCGGCATTGTAGGTGGGACCGGCTTGTGGCCAAAAACCAGGTGCAGGAAAATGTGGTGAAATTTCGTTGTGCAGTTTTCGCTCGGCACACTCGCATATTGGAAGTTTAGGAACGTGTGGTTCGTGTTTTCTTTCGATGCATTTTGCGAGCATCGTGGGTCGCAGAAGCCAGATTCCACATCGCTCCATGAAGTTGCCACGCCGTTAACCTGGCCTTGGAAGGGGGAAGTGGTTTTTGATGGACAAAATCCTGCACCACCCGCACACATGGTGTGCTTGCGGCGCAAATTGCAGCGCGCCCCCCTGCCCCCGATCCGATGTTGGTTGGCATCGCCAGTGGAGCGCAGGTTTTCGGCCAGTCCGCCGATCGACACATCGTGGTGCAGCCCGCCAGTCTTGAATTGGGTGTGCGGGGTGCGTTCACAAAAACCAGCATAAAAGGTTCAGGATTTTGTGTCCATCAGCTGAACTGAGAGGGGCCAGGCCTTCTTAGAAGGCGCCGGGGCTTTGGAGAAGGCTTCGAAAGCTTCTCTGAAGGCCTGGGGCCTTCTGAGCCTTCTGGCAAGGGCCCGCCCCCTCTGCTTTCCCTCCCGGGCGCGCTGCCGAGAGCGGAGACGAAGACGGACAGCAGTCCCTGACAATGCTGAGCAGGACTCGGTGCCGGTGTCGCCGCGGAAATTCTTGTCAGGAGGGAAAAAAAAATACAGACACAATGAATCGCCGAATCCCAGGAAAATATGGGAACATACGGGAAGTAGGGGGGAAGACGAACATCCATAACATATATATATATATATATATATATAACATAAACGGCGTCCGGGGCCCCGCGGCCCAGGGTCGCACACTTTTCCCAAACTCCCCCCCCCCCCGTAACCGAATTTGCCCCCTGGGCTGCGGGGGCCTTTTTTGGCATCCAGGGGCCCGTTTTCGGAGTTCCGGAATTTGTTCCGCTTCCCCGAGGCGTCCAACTAGGCTTCTGAAGACGGCAAGCAGCCGCCAAGACGGCCCAAGAGCGCTCCAAGCCGCCCAAGATGGCCCCATGATCGGCCCAAGAGGCCCCCAAGATGCCCCAAGGTCGCTCCGCGAGGACCTCCAAGAGAGCCCCAAGACGCCAAAATCATTGATTTGCATTCGTGTGTTCCAATATGTGTTGCTTCTCACGTTTTCGAGCGGCCGATACTCCAAGACTGCCCAAGAAGCCTCCAACGTCGCCCCAAGACGCCCCCAAGAGGCCCCCAAAGAGGCCCCCAAGAGGCCTCCAAGACAACCCAAGAGGGCCGCATGATCGGCTCAAGAGGCCCCCAAGAGGGCCTGAAGAGGGCCTGAAGACGGCTGGAAGATGGGCCCAAGAGAGGGAACGCGAACAGACCTTTCGAGATTCCCGCCCCCAGAGACCCCCAGGAGGCCCCAAGAGGCCCCCAAGTGGCTCCAAGAGGCTCCAAAGAGGCCCCAAAGATGCTTAAGAGAGGTCCTCCGTAGCCATTTTGGCTCAAGCCACTCGGGCTCAAGCTTCGCTTCCGCGAGCGCTGCACCGCCCACATTTCGATCCCGCCGAGATTTGCCACCCGTGACATCGGCCATGGAGCGCGCGGAGCTTGGGGAGGTCGGCGGCGAGGCGAGCGGGTCGGAGCAGCTCCTGGTCCAGGACGCTCGCGCCCGGCGCTCGCCCTGGCGAGCGGCGGGCGGCGCTGCCGCGGGGGCGCTGCTCCTGGCGGGTGCAGGCGGGGCGGCGGCGCACTTGGCGCTGCGCGGGGCGGCCTCGGGCGCGGGCCCCCGCCAGGGCAAGCAGCAGACGATCGGCCTTCCCGCGCGCGACCAGTGCTCCAACTGGGACGAGGACTGCTTCAGCACCGGGTGCTGCAACGTGGCGGGCCTGACCTGCTTCCAGACCAAGGCAGGCAAGGGCGAGTGCCTGAAGAACTGCACGCCCAGCGACACCCAGCTCTGCAACCAGCCGCAGGAGATCATGGAGCCGGTCTTGGTGGATGCTGCAGTGTACGACCCGACGCTATACTGCTTCGCGATAGTCATGCAGGACATCGGCAGCACGAAGAAGTACTACGATCTGGAACTGCTCCAGGGAGCGTATGACAAGGGGATCGGCATCTTTGGTTGTGATTCCTGGGGCGTCTTCAGCGACGCAGAGGCCGATCTTGCGCCAGGCGTTCCGGTCACGAAGGTGGATGACGTCGACGGGGACTTCCACTTCGCGAAGCGAGAGGAGACCGGCACCTGGTTGAACACTGGCTTGCACTACCAGGCTTGGAAGGCAATTCAGGCAGAGGGCAAGTATGCGACTGCGAACTGGGTCGTGAAACTCGATGCGGATGCGGTCATGATCACGAGCCGGTTGAGGAACTGGCTGTCAGACAAGTACGTCCCGGCCCAGGGCATCTACCTCGAGAATTGCCAGTACGTCAAGTATGGTTGGTTCGGCAGCCTGGAGATCTTCTCGAAGGTCGCGTTTGAGACGCTCCTGGGATCGATGGCCTCGTGCAAGAACGGTGGGATCGACTGGAAGGTGGGCATAGATGGCGGCAAGTACGGGCCCATGGGCGAGGACTTGTTTGCGCAGACCTGCCTGGACGCGAACGGCGTCAAGCGCGGCATCGGATACGGCTCCAAGCTGGACGGGACGTGCGAGGCGGACCGGCCCCTCTCGGAGAAGAAGAACAAGAAGTGGAAGCCCAACTGCGACACCGTCGCCACCACGACATACCACCCGCTGATGAAGCCGGAGGACTGGTGGGCGTGCTACGAGTCCACCATGAAGGCGTTCCCGGTGTACCCGCCCCCCTGACCTGGACGGCGGCCCCCCTCTGGCGCTCCGCGGTCCCCCGCCCCTCTCGCCTGCCGCCCGGCCTCCCCGCGACCGCGCCCGCCTCGCCCCCCCGGGGAGGGTGGCGCTGCCGCGAGTTCCTGTACGGCGCCCCGTCGGGCGGTCGCGCGCTTTTTCGCTCCCCCCCCCTCGGCGCGAAGGCGCCTCGAGCCCGCCGGGTCGCGCGGGCGCCCGGCGCGGGGGCGAGAGGGGGGCCCCCGACGCCCGCCTGTGCGCGTGTTTTGTTCGGCCGCTGCCGCGCCAAAGTCAGCACGGCGGCATGCCCACCGTTCTCCCAGCGGGCGGCCCCAGATTTTCGAGCGGTGCTTCCGAGCTCTTTGTGCGAGAGGCGCAGTGGCTCGAAGCTTGTCTGTCCCTCCGCCTCCACCGTGGCGCTAGAGCGAGCGTGCGGTCCCTGGGCATGTTTCCGGGTGGGCTGCCAGAGACTTGGAGGGCGAATCGAGCTCACGTGCCCCTGTGCGAGAGGCAGAGTGGCGCGAAGCTTGTTTCCCTCCACACGAGCCCCTTCGTTCATCACGAGGAATCTCTCGCCTTGCGAGCTCGTGCCGCCAAGCGCAAGGCGACCCCTTGCTAATTCGGTATGCTGGCTTCGACGCCAGTCGCTGTCAGCGCGCCTTCACCACGATGCGTTGAGCTCTCGCGTCCAGTGTGCCGACCGCTGGCTGCAACGCACTCTTACCATACTAAAGCTCCAATGGCATCACCCAGATATGCAAGGGGGAAAAGCAACAACAAAATGCTTAAGAGAGGTCCGACAAGCTCCACAGCGCCCCCGTGGAGGCTTCAAACCTGCTTCCAAAAGGTCCCCCGAGAGGCATCCCACGATATAATCCCAGCGAACATCCGATAGGCCTCTAACCCACAACCCAGACACGGTTGCGGGATGGGCCCAGAACTGCGACCTTTGGTTCGCATGGGGGGCTGGGGGGGCCTTGAGGGCTCCAAGAGGGTTCAGAAGGCGCCCCGGACCCCTCCAGAGGCTCCCAAGCTGGCCCAAGATATTCCCAGGAGGCTCCAGAGAGCCCCCCAAATGCCCGAACAGAGGCGCCCTCTGCCCCAAGAGGCCCCCAGGAGGCCCCAAGAGACTCCCAGGAGGCCTCCACGACGCCCCAAAAAGCCACCAAAAAGGCTCCAGAAAGACCCGAGAAGCTCCCTAGAAATCTCCACCGAGCTCGCAGGAGGCCTCTACACAGACCCTCAGAAGCCCGCCAGAAGCCCTTCGTCCTCCATGAGCCCTTCGGAACACGTGGCCCTGGCTGCACCCCCCGACCCGCCCACCCAATGTCGAGGCCCGAGGACGCCCCCATGACGCCCGCAAGACGCTCCGGAAACGCCTCTCCCGCACACGTGGATCAGGTGACAATGATGCTGATAGTCGGTGGTCCGTCGTCGTCGTCGTCGGTCGTCGGTCGTCGCTGGTACGCTACAGTTCAAACCCTTCCTTGAACTTCGCAGTATCCGCCCGAAAATCACGCATGGGCGAAAGGGAGGAACCCAGAATACCACATGGAAAAGGTCCCATGGAAATTGACACCGTCTTCGGAGTCGACTAGAACCTAAGCGCGCGCGAAGCGTGCGCGTGGTTCTAGTGGAAACATATGGGGAATCCTGGGATTTGTGTTTTTTTGTTTGTTTGTGTGTGTGTGTCCCTGGGCCCCTTGATATTGGTTTGAGACAACAAGTTGCATTGCAGCTTCGGGGTGACCTCGTCTGTCCTGTGCATGGCGCCCCTTTTCTGATGTGTGACGTATGTTGGACGCGGAATCGACGTGGCTTCGACGCGAATTCGATATAGATTCGATGTGGGCTCGTGGGTTCAACGTGGATTCGACGCGGACTCGACACGAACACCGACGCGATGGGACAGGCAAGGCCCCCCTGAGATGCAACACAACAGCCTGCCCATCAGCACTCGCCGTTGGCTTTGGACAAGGTCTGCTGCTGGGCACCGTGCCCATTCTTACCGTACCTGTTCCGGGCGTGCCAATCCAGGACAGCACCGGGAGAGGAGCATCCAGGACCGAGGGTCGTTTTTTTTCCATGGAGGAAGCGGGTCCTGAGGGAAACGGGTCCAGAGGTTTTTGATTGTTCTGGTTCGGGCTCGGGCATCACCCGAAAGCGGCTCAGGACGAGAAGTTATTTAATCGCTTCGCTCATGCCGCCGGCCCTGGAGCCCTCTTTAGGGCCTCTTGGGGGCCTCTTGGGGACCTCTTGGGAGTCTCTTGGGGCTCCTTGGCGGCGTTTTGGAGGCCCCCAGGGCCTCTTGGGGGGCTCTTGGGGGTAGTCGATTGCGGCTCCCCCCTCGGAGGCCACGATCCTCGTGAGGGGTGTCGAAAAATACCCTCCCCTGGAGTGGTCTGGGGGCTTCTCCCGGGCTTCTCTCGGGACCTTGCCGGGGTACTTTTCGTCCTGGGGCCCCCAGGGGCCGCTCCGCGCGCGCGAACTAGAATATTGTTAACAAGTTACCGGAGATCTTAGCACGCCTCTGGCCCGTTGGGCCGGCGAATTCCTAGATTCAGGACCTGTTTCCCTCAGGACCAGTTCTCTTCATGCCAAGGTTCGAGTAGGGGATCGGCTACAGAATTGATGTACCCTAGAATTGATGTTTGTTCATCGGATATGTTAGAAAGCACGTAGAAGGTTCGTATATCTACGAACATTTCACTACTTGCTTACTGATTCGACGAACAAATCAATTCTGGGGTAAGTCAAGTATGTAGTCGATCCCCTACTCGAAAGGTTCTGGCTGCATCCGGGATCGAGTGCGTCGGCCATCCTCGGCCTTTTTTGGGCTCACGGAGCCCTCCAGGAGCATTTGGACGGACGATCTCTGTAGGCTGGTCCGGGCATGTTGTGGACATTCAGATTGGCACCTTGTTGCCACCACGCCGGCTTGGGACGACCTCCGAGACAAGGACATCGTGCGGTGATGTCGCCATCCCTCCACTTCCTCCTCCTCCTCCTCCTCCTCCTCCTCCTTCCCGCGTGCTGCTTCCTTTGTCGTCGTGTTAGTATTGTACTGTAGTTCTCGGGCGCCTCGGCGCCCCCTCCGCTGCGCCTCCACGGCGCCACGCACGCGGAGCGAGTGCTAGTGCCAGTGCCTCTGGCTCGTGCACCTCGGCATTTGCCAGATCCGACTGCTGCACTCGTCTCTCCCCTGATGCTGTCTTCATGTTCGACAGCCCATAGTTCGTCTGCTGATGCTGACGCGCAGGACTGTCCCGAGTTGGCTTTCGTGGTTCGCTTTGCCAGTCTGAAGGTTCTCGGCCTTGTCCCGCTGCAGCGGGACAAGGCCAACACGAATGGGGGAGGAGGAGGAGGAGGAGGAGGAGGAGGAGGAGAAGGAGGAGGAGGAGAATTGGCCCGCTGCAGCGTTGGCCGCATTTTTGGATCGGCGCTTCAATCCCCGTCGTTGAGAAGGGCTCTCGCCCTGGCGAGAGCCACGCTCCTGGATCCGAGTCTCTCCTCGGCCCTGCCGTCCCCGTCCTGCCCTCTCAGCCTTCCCCATGGCCTGGTCCTGCTGCCCCCCGCTCCTCCTGCTCCTGCTTCTGAGGCTGCTCCTGCTCATCCTCCTGGTCATCCTCCACCTCCGCCCCCTCCTCCAGTCCTCTTCCTTCTAGGTTTGAAGACATAGTCAACATGAATGTTGCTTGCCACTGTGGGCCTTCGCGGGGGTGCTGTTGGAGGTCTGTTGGGACGTCTTGGCGGCGTCCTGGGCCGCTTGGAGGCCATTGACCGCGTCTTTTAGCGATATGTCGGCGAGTCGGGGCTCTCTTGGAACGTTTTGGGCGGGCACAGCGTCCAGAGGATATCCAGGAACCATCACAGAATTCACAGGAGCCGCCCCATGACGGCTTGAGGTGGCCCAGGACGGTCCGAGACGGCCCAGGTTTTCCCGATACGGCTTGGGAAACGTCTGGTCTAGACCTGTAAAGACGTACAGTTCTGGTTGCAGCAATTGCAGCACAGCCTCTATATCTCAGTGCTGCATGAGCCTTGGGGCGCAGCACTTCGAACCAGTCACACGGATCGTTTGTCGGCCAGTGTAGGATAACGTCATATCGTCACAGCCATGGTTCGGACATTTGTGCAGCAAGGGGAGTTGGAGGAGGGGAGGGACTAGCGCATCATCGAGGAAGGTCAGGCTACGAGGATCGTCTGGCATGGGGGCTTGCCTGCTGGTATACAGGGGAGGAGAGGAGAGCAGGAGGAGAAGGAGGAGAAGGAGGAGGAAGGGGAGGAGGAACATAACCATCGCCGCGGGCGTTTACACGGTCAGAGGGTGCGGGAGGCGAAGGTGAAGTTGATTGCTTTGTTTGGATGAACAGGAGGGGGGGGAGGAGGAGGAGGAGGAGGAGGAGGAGGAGGAGGAGGAGGAGGAGGAGGACTAGTGTAAACCCAAGACGCGTCAACGATGTTACAATAAACCCTCCCTCCAAGTTTCCTCTTCACAGGTCCCTACAATCATGCACTTCACTGGTGAAAGTGTCCCGTTGGAAGACGACCGCCAGAGAACCGTCGACCGTGCCAAAACATCACGAATCAACTTGTTTGTTGCGTCCTGACGGTCTGGAATCGCGCCAGAACATCCCTGGGAGTTCAACGCCGCGAATCAGCGTGACTAGCGTTTGGACAATCCGAAATCGTGCCGAACATTATTCTTGGGACCTTAACCACAAGAATTCGTTAAGTTGCTGTCAAGTTTTGAAGCGAATACGCGCGACGCTGAGGCGAATGCCACATTCTGAAAAGGACCCGCCCTCGATCCGTGAAGCTCTTGCTCACTTTCGGGACAAGTGTGCGCGGCGTTACGGCGAGAGCCACATTAGAAGGACCCGCCTTCCATGCGCGAAGCTATTGCAAACTTTCGGGACGCATACATCGTCGCTCCGAAAGTTTCTTCCGATTTGAGAGGCACGGCGCCGCGCGAATGCAGCGCAAACGCTACGATGGAAGGGCGCGGCAATGCATGCCCCCTGGACAGGCGAGAGCAGCCGCGCCCCCGTGCGAACCCCGATCCCGCGCGGGGCGCGCTCCCGTTGACAATGGCTCACCCGGGAAGCCGTTTCTTGCGCGGGAAGTCCTGAGCGGTCTGCCCATCGGCGGCCCCTTCGGACGAGGCCCAGAATCACCGAGAAACCGTTTTTGATAGGAAGTTCCCAGCGGTTTGCCCATGTTCGGTTTCTTCGGATTGGGCCCGAAGACCTCGAGAACGATGTTTTTGCAAGGAGTCCTAGGCAGTTTGCACATTGTCGGGTCGTTCGAACCGGACCCAAAATTTTTGTATGGCTCAGGTCCTATGGATTTGGCCACTTTCAAGTCGGCCGGTAATATGTTCGGGTCGTCGCATGACCGAACCCGAAAGATTTGTTCGTGGAGGTCCCATGCCGTCTGCTCATTTTCGGGTCAGCACACCGTTTGGGATTTCAAATTTTAAATTAGGAAGGGGAACCCGATCCCGCGACCCCGGGCGGGGTCTAGGCTCTGCCCTTGCATTGTACTGGCCCTTCCGGCCAAACGGGATGCTGGGCTGCCCATCGGCGCGCCGACTCTGCCCTCGCGACATCGCCCCCG